CGTGAGCCTCAGTGGCCTCACCCAGCACCCTCTGCTTTTCGGTAGGGGTTCTCCAACAAGTAGCGAAACCGCTGGTAGTTCTTGAGCAGGTACTTGGGAGCATACATCTGCTCCTTGGGATCGGCAGGGGGATACTCCTGCGTAGTACCATCGAACCAGCCACCAGTCCGGATCAGCTCCCGAATATAATTGAGGTCTCGTTTATCCTCATAGTCACCCCAGCGGGGAAAGTCCCCATTCTGGGCTGACACCAGTTTGAAGTAGATCCCCTCTGGGGTGAAACACCAGGAGCAGTGCCAGCCAGCAAAGTGGAGGGGGCTGCCCAGTGACCACTGCACCAGGATGTGTCCTGTGCTGTTCTCATACTGCCGAAAGCCAGGCATGGTGTAGTACTCGCGGCGCCGCAGACGGATCCCGTCGGTAGCGTAGACAGCCTGGAGCATCCCAATGGTGCAGCCCGAGACCACCTCCAAGGTGCCTGGTTGCTTCCAGAAGAAGCCATAGAGCGACTTGCGCATGTGAAAGGCAAAGGGCTCTGTCCAGCCATCGTAGAGCTTGAGGAAGAGCACACCGTCACGGGCTGGGATCTCATCGGCATCATCGATGATGAAGACATCGTCCGGGCGCAGGTTGCGAAGGCGAGAGATGCCATCCCGGGTGAGAAAGGTGCGCAGGTAATCGTCAGCAATCCAGCCGTCCTGGCGGCCACCAGGGGGGAAATGGTCCAGGAAGACGTAGAGCACCTTGGGGCGGATGTAGTCGAAGGAGCCGTTGAGGAACATCTCGCGGAACTTGAGGGGCCGCGGCTCTCCATAGGCTGTGAAGTTTGACTCGCACACCACAAAGGCATCCACCACATCTCCCAGCTCATGGAAGCGGACATCCAGCAGGTCAAACTCATGGTTGACATTGATAGCGTTGATGACCCGCCGGGGGGTCTCCCGTGGCACAAGGCGATCCTTGGTGGGCAGGTTAGAGTACTGGACCACAGTGGGGACCCCGCAGCTGGGGCCGTGCCAGCCCGGCAAGCACACACACTCCACCCACTTGCGCCGCTTGGTCCCGCTGGCGCTCAGCGGCTTGCGAAGGCTGCACCATCTGCTCGCTCCTCTGGCCGCCCTCCCATGGGTGGCTTCTCCAACACCTTGGTGCCTGGTTTAAAGCAAACGCCACCAGCTTTGGTACGGACAAAATATTCTGTTGTGTCTTCCGGCAGCACAAACTCAACTTTGTGCACCTCTTCGCTGGCTCTGCTGGGAGGCAGGGGCTGGAGCAAGGGGGAGTGGGAGTACAGGGGTGTGCGGAGGAGCTCTGCACCCCCTGGCTCAGGGCTGACCTGAGGTGTGATGGGGGCATTGTTCCAGAAGAAGCTGGAGACGAGGTTGGGACTAAGCGAAGCCAGCTCTCGGGGGAAGGTGACATAGGAAAGGGCCTTGAGGAAGTGCAAGAAGGAGATGAGGCAGAGACCAGCCATGCAGAGAGTCAGAAAGAGCTTATGGCGTCTCATCTTCATCCTGTGGAAAAGCCATGAAAAAGAAAGTCACATTCAATAGTTACTGAGGTGCAAAAAGTTTACCAGTGGTAGACAGATCAGTTGTGGATGGCAGAAAATTCACCAGATTTGAATCCAAGAACTACTCCCCCCGCCCCCACCATCTTCAGTGGGCCTTTTGCCTCAGCTGCATTACACCAAGTCTGAACCTCTTCTATATCAGTCAGTTTTATAAACTCACAAAGACAAGAAAGGCACTGGTGACAGGGTAGAAAGGCAGGAAATCCAGAATAACAGGAATTTATGATTAAGTGAACTCACTGCACTTGGCAGATTTGGCTCTATTCATTGATGGAAACAAAACGAATGTGGGCTTCCTCAGGCCCTTCATCGTGAGAAGGTTGGAGGAAGATGAAGAAAGAGCAGAAAGCAGGAGGGACGAGAGGGAGTAGGGGGTATACGGCTGAAATACGACCAATGTAAGAGAGGCAATTTTAAAGGACCAAGATCATTAGCCAATCTGCCAGAACCAGGAAAACACCTATACTCCCCAGATCTTTTCAGTGTTTGCTCAACACACGCCCTAAAAAACACCCTTTTCCTAGAAAACGCTACTCAAGTTCACATGGGGAACAGGAAAAAAAAAATAATTGTCACTTTTACTCTTCTGCCGTCCTTCTCAAGTTCATTGTATCTCCAAATGTTGCCCTTTGCTTCTCGTTTTATATGGACTAGATGCTGAGGGTTTTTTGCATCTGGATCAAGATGGCTAAAATATATGCCTAGCTGTCTCCACTGGTAATGCTGTGCCATAATGACAGATCCATATCAGGCCAGCAAGAAGCCAGCAGTGCAGAGCCCTTCCCTCCAAACAACGCAGAATATTGCCTTCATCTGCTCCCTGCACCACCTCTCCTCCAGCTCAGGCAGGGAGTACAGAGCTGCTGTCAGGCAGAGAAGTGACTGAAGACTATAATCCAGAAACAGGACTGAAAAAAAGAAAGAAGAAAAAAACCTAAGTTCACCCAAGGAAAGGAGAAAAGGCGCTCACCTCCTGCTGTTTAGGGAAGGGCAGGCTGGAGCAAAGGTGGGCAGGAGAACAAGGTCACCCAAAAGCCCTGTGCAATGCAGAGGCTGTCCTCTCCTTCCTGGAGCATTAAACCCTTCATGCAGCAGCAGATGAAGAGGCAGAGACCCCCTCCAAGGCCCACGCATGCGACATCCACCACTGTCCTCCCTCTCCCATGGCAGCGCTCCGCCCCAGTGCCGTCCCCTTCCCAGGGCCAAAGTTCCTGAAAGGCACCACACACCCTGTGCCATCACTTATAAACCCTCTGCTGAGCGCACAACGGTGCCAGCAACGCCTTCGCAGGAGGCAGTGCTCCCTCCCAAGGAGCACAGGGCAGCCACCCCATGCCACACGCCCCTCGCAGGGACTGTCCTACTCCCTCGCCCTGGTGCTCCCCATGGCCAACATGCCCCAGTGTGGGAGCAGAGGGAAGAAGCACCCAGACTGCTCCCACTGCTTCAGAGGGTATTAAGTAAAATACAGCAAAGTGCGTTTACTGATTAACTTGGAGAGAATTTAATATTGAAGTGAAAAGCCATAAAGCATTTAGACAGATGGCAACTGCCCAAAGGAGAACATATCTGGCTCTCTACAGATGGCTCTGATATGGACTTTGGTAGAGAGGTTGTCCACAGTTATACCTTACAGCTCAGCAAAAAGCATTTCTGGACACTTTTCGGTCACCTTTTTAGCGAGAACCACCATCCATCAACACAATTCCCCGTGCTCAGGTGACAGAGTGAGGAGTGCCACATCAATCTCTGAAGGAGGGGACTATGCTTAAAGCTGCCAGAAAAGTTACTGCATTTCCATGAGAGGGGGGGAAAAAATTACAAGAAAACAAACAAACAAACAAGAGAGCTTGTTCTTCTTTGTTAATGTTTATTACAGTTTTTGATATACTTTGACACTACACAGGTCAGTGGAGGGGCAGGGTCCTGGCTTTGCGTGCCCCCAGGAGGCAACCTTATCAGATGGGCTGGGAAGGAGGACATGGTGGCTCTCCTCAGGGCACCATGCCACAGCAGGCCCTTATCTCTTGCACCCACCTGCCATGGCTCGACAGCCCAATCTCACTTGCCTGGTCATGGCTCAGCTGGTGGGAGGCTATCTTTGTGGTGGTCCAGCCATGAAGGGGCTGGATGTTCTCTTGTTCAAAACCATAAAGGACCATCTTGGGACTTGCTGTCAAGCCTTTTTCATGGGGCAAAACAGGGGGCTGCAGAAGCCCCCAAGAACATCTTCTTGAGTTCAGGGAATTTATTTTTCTTTTTTTCTTAAGGCTCCGTTAACGTCTTGCAAGATCACTTGCAAGGTAGAAGAGCATCTAGTGCCTTTTCCTTGCATGTCACCAGTTTTTGCTCTGTCTTGAAGTGTGAGGAAGAGGAGGGCACAGGAAGCTGAAAACACTAAATTAGCAGCAACTGGCTGGCAGGAAAAAGTGGCCCTCGCTGGTAAATAAGTACAGCTTTCTCCAGTCAGGTGTCCTGTGCTTTCTCGGAGGCATTAACTCCAGGCATCAGGTTGCTCTCTCAGATGCTGAAACCTGGGCAAGATGAATGGCTGGCCAGCTCCAATAAGGTAATCCCAACAGCTGCCAGGTAATGCTGGTTTCACTCCAGTTCCTACAGGACACACAAATGCAGCGCAGCCAGCTTCCTCCAGGCCAGCCCAGGACAGAGGACAGGTGCTGAAGGCATCACGCAAGGCCTGTCTCCATATTCTTCCCAGATAGCTGTGATGCTCCGCATGCCACGGGAAATTCCCAGACAAAAGGTCGTAACTCTTGACATTTGACAAACTGCTTCGCTTCCTGGGGTGTGGTGTGCCATGTCAACATAGCAGGACATGTGGTTTTAGGAAGTAAAGCATGGCTTCCTCACTTGATCCTTGCATACATCAATATCTGCCAGGCTCGGCACACGGCTCTGCAGCTCTTCACTCACTGGCAAAACTCAGCCCGTGCGCAGTTGCGTTGCCTCCCCGTTACTGCAGTCTGCACCCAGGAGAGCCGGGCTGGTGCACGCAGTCCTCTCCTGCAGCTCTGCCAAAGCAAGCTGGCCCTGCAGTACCCTCTGCTGTTTTCCTGCTGACATGTCCCAGGAGGCAATTTTCACTGCTCAGTTGTCTTCGTTAGGGAGCGGGAACATGAACCCATTTCCTATCCCTTCCTAAAAGGAAGGAACCAAAGCAAGCTATGTCCTCTTCAAAACATCTTCCCTGGGAACCACCTCCATTCTCACATGCCAGGGATTCCTCTGCTGGAGAGTGGAGAGATTGGGTGGGCTGAGATCCTAAAAAACATCAATCACATATCTCTTCCCATATCCTCTGATCAGCACTGTAGTGAAAGACATGTCTTTGAGAGGCAGCTAATTGGAGACAAAGGCCAGCAGGGTAGGAAGATGCTATTACCCACCTTCCCCATCCAGAACGTTTATGTGTGGGGGAAATGAGAAAGGAGGTACTAGTTAGGGAGACATCTCAGCGTGTCATAAAAGAGCCCACTCCTGTGTCACAAAGCAGCCATCAGTTACCAGGAACACAGAAAACAGCAAGAAGAGATATTTCCCTTCTGACAATTTTGAGCGAGGAGGGGGAAAAAAGTCAACTTGATCTCAGGGAGAGCAATCAAGTTGCTGTCAGGTTAAAAACAGCAGCAAGAAAATCTTTAATGTTCAAGTAGAAGAAAAAGCCAGAAGGCGCATGGACAGTCAGCTCCATTAAGACAAAGCTCTTCAGGGAACATGCAGTTGTAAACTGCTTCAGCAACATTCAGCCTCAGCAAGAGAAGCTGAAAGCTTCTTTTTGTAAGGGATTCCTTTGATACTTCCTTGCTTGAAGAAGCTATGTCTCCACCATGCAGGGGAAGGGCTTTCAGAGAAGGAGGAAAGCTAGAAGTGGTATGCATATGAGTTATCCCCAGGCACCTGTTACCATTTTACTTTGCTATTATATCAAGTGACCAGTTGATTTATACCATCCTGAAATCATATCCTGATTTTCAAGGAGACAGAGAGAAAGAAATGCACCACTAAGAGCTAGTAATTCCCCAGTGCTAATGTTCTCTTCTGGAGGACACTGGCAAGAGGCCATGCAAGAAGCCGCTGGATGCACGATGCCTCGCGCTTCGTCCTTGTAGGGCACAAGACTCGAGACTCCCTAGATCTCTCCTGTGGTGACAAGAGAAAAGTTGCTGTGGAGGACAAGTCAGAGTAGGAGCTTCTGGTTTTCCCCCCAATACAGAGATGCTCATCTCCTCTGCCTAAAGTTATCCCATAACACCCATGCAGTAACATATTTGCCCATCACTCAGACACTTCAACACAAAGCAACAATTCAAATTAGAATCGCTTTCATGCGGCGGATTAAAATCTAGCACGACTTCCATCCCCCACTCCACACTGAGGGCCAAACTCTCTCTCTGCTCCAGCTAGAGACAAACGAACAGGCTCCACACTTCTGAAGTACTAGTCTACTCACCACCCACAGGGCACAGGCATCACAACACACATCAGAGTCACAGCACCTCAAAACGCTCCAAGATGTCAAATTACTTTTGTCCTGCAAACAACTACAGAAATAAGGAGAAACTATAAAATCTACTATTTGTCTACAACTGAAACATGACTATCTCAGGGACAGCAGGACTGTGCCTTGCTTAAGGATAAGAAGAGAAGATTATCCTACAAAGCTGGACAGCAGGGAAAGTGGAGAGAAGTAGGATGTACCAGAAGGTACCTAGGGCTCAGCATTTCCGTCACGTGAAGGATGCCATGGTGTTTTCAGGGACTGCAAGCTAGGAGGATGTCAACAGGAAGTTCTGGCAGAGCGACAGTACAAGGTGGTTTGAATGCAAGCAGGTCCATATCGGCTTCCGTTCGAGTTTCAAGGACAGAATACAACATTCTTCCACGACCTTTATCAAGAGCTACTGCCTGCAGCGCTAATG